GATCACCATGAGCTGGAATTCAATCTCCGAACTCATAAAGTTCTTCTTTTTTACTTTGCGATGTCATTCATGAATGAACACTTCCTGGTATGTGGGGCAGGAAATGTATATCCTTATATGGTGTTTTTGGGGCAGTAATTATGTAAATCTCCTCTCCTCGTGCACGAGCACCTGGATATGCATTCATCAGTTTACGCTCCTCATTTACACACTTTTCCTGAAGATAGAAGTGTTTGTTGAATCTGACGTGACATGTTCGTACAGACCCTTCATACGAACAAAAGTAAGAGAAATTTAGGATAAGAATACGAACGTTCTTGCATGAGGCCCAATGTGTGGAAATGTTGAACCAACATCTCAAGACATCAGCCAGGAAGTTGAAGTTTAGTTAGAAATGGGTCTTCCAAATGGACAAAAGCAGCCAGATTAGTGACAAATCAGTTTTGAAGTGGTCATCACGAAGCTCTCAATCATACAGAAAAATCTGTAGGCAGAGCTGAAAAGGCAGACCATGACTCAGTTCCCCCAGTTCTACTGGGAAAAAACTCCAGCAAACTACTGAGAAGTCTAAATAGTTTCATTCAAGTCATACAGTTAAGGTAATACTAAAAAATATATTTAAATTTGTGACTTTGAAGAAAGCAATAAAAAAATTCTCATCGTTGAAGTGTTTAGCAATAGAAATATAAATAAAACAGGAAAAGTTTATTTTGATAGTGAGAGAAAAACGTGAGCCTTTTTATGTAGTGTATGTAGAACAGAATAGAACAGAAACAGCCTTTATTGTCCCGCCAAGGGGAAATTCAAGTGTAACAGCAGCAGCAGATGCATCAATCCACAAAACAATATTTGGATATGTGACATTATCAACAGTAGCAATAATAATAGAAACATCTGGTTTAAACTGTATCCATATTCTGACTGCTAGACTGTACTGTTCAGACACTTTATAGACTTCATGTTTCCCTAAATGAACATGCCTCACACTGAAAGCAAACTTACTTGATTATTTTCTTCTGTTTGGTTGTTGACTTTTGGCTTCAGTTTGCCCGACCCATCTTTAAAAATGTCTCCGAAGCCAAGGCGTGGGCCTTTTGGGGGGTGGCGGACAGGATCATTCCCTGAGGCAGGCTGAGGAGATGTGGGGGTGGTGGCCACTTCCAGTCCACTTGGATCTGAGAGGAAAAGCAACAAAGTGAAACATCATCAAAAGTGTCATCATGATGTGAAACATGAAACCGTTTTTTTCTCCACAGTGGACATTCTAGTTTAGTTATGTCCAATCCTGGTACTTAAAGGCCCCTGGCCTGCATGTTTTAGATGTTTGTCTGCTTCGACACACCTGATTTGAAGGAATGGGTGAAAAACCGGCTAGTATAGATCTTGAGGAGGTATTTCAACCATTAAATAAGGTGTGTCAGACCAGGGAAACAACTAAACCATGCAAGATGCACTCAGGGAGAAGGACTGGACACATCTGTTCTAGTTCCTTTAACTTTCTAACTTACTGAGCTTTAATTGAAGTTGTTCAAAGTCATAGAAGACTAAAAAAATCAGATTCAGGAAGGTCTTCAGATTTTCGGTCAATTAACATCTAAATATTGAAGAAGTTGTTAAGATTTGGGAACTTCTCTGAGACTCTCTGCTTTTTCCATCTACACCTGGAAGTAACTGCTGCTGACACATGATAGCAGCTCTGAAGACTCTTTAAGAAGTCTTCAGTTAATCCAAAATGCTGCTGCTAGAGTTTTAATGAGAGTTGGAAGGAGAGATCATATTTCTCCAGTTTTAGCTTCTCTCCACTGGCTCCCTGTCAAATTCAGAATAGAATTTAAAATATTACTCCTAACATACAAAGCTCTTAACAACCAAGCTCCATCATATATTAAACATCTTATTGTTCTATATTTTCCTAACAGAGCATTTCACTCTTATGGTGCGTTCACACCGAACGCGATTTCAGCTTCAAAATCGCAGCCAACGCTGAAGTTTGAAGCT